AAAAAAAAAAAAAAAAAAAAAAGGTCACTGGCTGGACTTGTCTTTTGGTGCAATTCGGAATGACCTTCGCAGCTGGAGCAGATGCCCGAAGGTTGGGGCAGGTGCTCAGATGGACCCAGGTCCCATTTCAGCTGGTGCTGTTGGCTCCTGTGAATGGAAATACTGATGTGAGCTACCTCACCAGGGCTGCAGATGCAGAAAAAGCACATGTATGGCAGAGCCCAGAGGAAGCCTGCTGGGGTACAGGCTAGCAGTTTCCTTTGGCTTCTTGCTCCAGCCTGGGGCACTTGGCCTGTATCCTTCTCCCTCGGTATGTGCACACCAAGGCACGAGGCCTAAAATGCCCACCCTCTGCAACTGCAGAAGTGTACCCCTAGTACATCTTGAGAGGGTTTGCAGGGGCCTGTGTCCTCTCCCCTGCCTGGCTGCAGGGGATAGCAGGGTGCAGGAGGAGAACGGGGTGAATAGGACCTTTCATGAGCCAGCCTGGTGCTAGGAGCCCTGGAGTCGCTGCAGCTCAGAGCACAAAAATACAGCTGTGCTTGAGTGCCACCTTTCCTCATCCAGCTGAGGATTGTTGGTGTAAACAGAGACTAATTAGAGTGGTCTGCATACAGTCATGACATCAAGGCAGGTGTCATGCCAAAAATATGCAAGTTGCATGCAATGCAAGTTCAGAATACCACTAGGCTGGGACAAGCTACAAAAATCAGGATGGCTCAGCCATAAGCAAGAGTACTGCAGGACACACAGCAGGTTCCCTGGCACCATAGAGACATGGGGTTATTCTGCCTCATTTAGCCACCACTGCCCTTCCTGCACGAGCCCAACATGAGGTACTCCAACCCCACAAAGACAGGAGGCATGATTGAAATAACTGCTTTTATAAAAAGTATATGCATTCCTTCAATACATTATTTTCAGTACACAGTTAAAACAGAGCAGCAGGCAACTCCCTTACTGCCCAGAGGCACTTTTCCATTCTCCATAGGCAAATACAAGATCAACACTTGCAAGATTATTCTCTTTGGCAAAAGTCAGACGCCCACCCCCCAGCTTTTCCTCGATGGGAGCCTGGGGCCCAGAAGCCTAGGACAGCTCCAAGGTGGTTTGCCTCCATTATGCAGCTACTTGTCTGACACACACACACACACACACACACACACACACACACAGAGAGAGAAAGTGCTGGTTTGATTCAATTCAGATCCCCTTCCAGATGCACCCCACAGATGGATGGCCTCAGATGGGCACCTCTGTGTTGGTCTGTAAACTCAAATTAACTGATGGGCCCTCTTGTTTGGTTACTTCTAGTTGTGGTTTACTGTTTGAGCCCTGGACTGTGTGTCCTTGGCAGCCAAGCAGAACCACCTCAGCTGCCAAGATCTGTCTCCACCTCTGCCCCGTGGACAGGAGGTTAGGTGCACCTTGACTCCATCTTCACAAGGCAGAGGCAACACTCTCAGGTCTCTGTTTAAGGCTTCTGAGTCCATCAAATCCCTGGGATTTTTATTTTTAATGCCCAGGAAGTGGCAGCAAAAAAAGGCTATCCTCCATCCAACCCGTTTGGCCTGTTCAGTGTGCATGTTCCACACCTGTTTACATTATTGCTTTTACAACCAACTTGGCTAGTGGTAGCAAGGCTAAATGTTCTCAGACAAGCTGGAACAAGCCTTGTGCTTTGGTCAACGCTGCAGATCAAGGGGTTAGATCAGCATTACATAACCCTTAAGATCAATAAG